CTGCTTTAGAGTGGACCTTCGCAATATTCAATCACAGAAGGATTCTGCCACGGGATTAGCTAAACTAGTAGCACTGGAATCCACAGAAATCCATCAGCACAGACCATTATAAATTGTGGAGCGTCAGATGTAAAAGCAATCTAAAATGCCTCTTATTAGCATGTTCTAATTTGTATCCACAGAATATTTATCTTAAGTAATCTCTTTGCTTAGCTGAAGGGCATTTCTTCTATGAAAGTATTAAATCTTGCATCGACATGTAAAAAACATTCCTTTGGCATATTTTCCACAGCTACCTTCAAAAGTGATTCACTTTTAATTCTAAACCATGAAGTAAGTACTTCATCTCAGATAATCTGACCATCAATAACAAAAATATCTGCTTAATCAACCATTTAATTGATGCAAGCCATGCCTTAGAAACTAACATTTTAAAAGTAAAAGTATTTATGATTGCACCTGCATGTGCAGGATGATTTATTATTGCTATTAATTTTGTCCTCAGGATTTTAATTTATATTTTGGTTTTTCACAAGATTGCGAATGTTGTAACCTCATTTTAACCATGACGTGCACATTCACTTTATTGACACAATTCTTTGAGAACTCCCGTTGGCAAGAAGTGCAGAAAGAGAACTGGAGAAAAGAATGTAAAGAATCCTAAAGTCAACAACAAATTCCATCTTCCAAAACACCTACCAAGTGTGTGGTCAGGGTGTGAATCTTGGATTGGGCTCATCAGCTGCAGCAAGGATTCACAAAACCCGTGACCAATGACATGGAATTTGCCTGGTGGACAATGGTACTCGTTAGTGAGTGATTGCTGCTATCGATGAACACTTCGGTACTGTCTGAACTATTTTGTTAGTATCAGCTAAAAGGATGAATTATTGGATTAATTTCCAATTTATGATTTCAGTGTATTTCAAATACAGGACTGTTACAGCCCGATTTGGAGTAAGAGCTCTTTGTTTTAGCCCTTGCTACTCTAAGGAAGCCAAGACTACTTGTAACTTATCCTTTTGTGTAACCTTAGCTGAGACCAACTAAGTGAAACATGGCTACATGAACAGCATTGGTATTTGAGTGTTGTAGGTTATAACATATGTAATAAGGGTTTGGAAGGAAGAAGAGTAGGTGGTGTTTGGGCTAGCTGTGCTAATTAGAGACAACATAATGGTACTGTAGTAGTAAAAAGGGACTTAAGTAACAAGAATCAGAACCCATGTGGATTGAAATAGAAGATAACGGATTGATCATACATGGATGGTTATGCAGATGGAAGAGGAAAGATGTGAGTAAATTTGTGAAATGACTCAAGGTCATTGAGTAATAATAATGGAATACTTTATCTACTCCTAAATAACTAACTGGAAAGATAGGGTACATTAAGGGAATTGAATTTTTGCAGTGTGTGCAGGACTTCTTTCTTACCCATCATGTACAAATGAATTATATTGGTTCTGGTAATAAATAAAGCACAGCTCATATGAGAAATCAACATAGAAGAACTTTTAAACAAGAGCAACCCACACCGCCATAAACCTAGAATAATGATTTACAAAATACAGAAGTGAAGCAAAGACCAAAATAATAGGTTGGGGGAAAGAATTTCATACTTTTGATTATAAGAATGGAACAGGGGAACAAAATTGGGCCAAAAAGTAAACAGAACAGAAATACATTTTAAATGGTGACCAACTGACTTCATGAAAAATAATCCTGCTGATACATTATTGGCCAATATGGATGTGTATAACACCATGACTGTACAAGGAGAGGTAAAACTAAAACTAATGAAAAAGGCATTCATAAAACACATGAACAATGGGGGGAGGTGGGGAAGAACAACTAAAGAATGCAAAGTTATTTAGAAGAGAAGTAAAAAAGATACAATTTAATTAATCAATCATGGAAAATGAAGTTAAATACTGAAGCAGACAAACTAAAAACTTGGAATTGGACCATCAAGGAATGCATACAATAAGGGCATGGGCAATGATAACAAAACAGCAGTAATATTATTTCCTTCAATTATTATCAGGGCGACAGGGAGGCTATGGCATTAAAAATGTTATTGGCAGGGACAATATTTGATGAACAAGCTAAACCCCAGAGACAATAAAACCCCTGAATTATATTTACACAGATTAGAAGAAGCACGGAAAGAGAAAAATGGTTACATTTATTCAGCAGAAATCAGCACATGTTATGATTCCAGACAATTGGATGATAGCTCAAGTTATTTCTATATTTTAATAAGTGAGATCGAACAAGTCCAGGGAATATAGCTATAGATCCAAATGTCTATGATAAGGAAAATAATGGAGTCTTTAATGAAAGATGTAATGCAAAAACATGTAGAAACAAAAAATATAATAGTCAACCTATATTGCAAAAGGGAATATCATGCTTGATCAACCTTTTTGAATTCTTTACTCATGTCAACACTGTTACTTCTTTAATTTACTCGAAGGAAAATACTTGGAATTTCAGAGGACCTTTGATTGGGCAGTGGATTTGTGTGTGATTAGAGCATGATAGAAAGGGCTCCTGTAGTGCAGTGGGAGTCATTGTTCCCTCTAAGCTGTGCCTGGAGCTGCTCCAAGGTTCCAGCTTGGCGATTTAATATCAGCGTGCCAATTATGGCACTGACTTCTGTTTCTTGAAATCACTTCTTGGCACCAACCTTGGAGGCCAGCACAGCTGGAATGAAAATTGGATGGAACATTGTTGTAGCCAAGAAACCTGAGTTCAAGTCTCACCAGCTCTAGAGGTGTGCCATAACATCTCTGAGCAGTTTGATTAGAAATTATCTAGAGCATGGACAAGTACCAGCACAGATTAAAGAAAAAGGCATATTGAAATCTTAAAATGCCAAATGCTGCAAATGTACAGCTGAAAGAGTGATGTAACTTTTTATTCAAGTTCTTTGCATATCTTTGAGCCATTTAGAAAGAATATGTTTTATGGACATGTACATGTGTAACATGCACTAGACTCAAATTTTAATATCTGTAGATGTTTATTATCTGGTATCATTCAAAATAAGTTTAATTGTAAGGAGAGAAGTTTAATACCAGTTAAAACATAATGTTACCTGCTTAAGTGGAACTCTGCCCTGTTAAAATAATAAAAATAAAGGAAATCTGAGATTAATTGTTGTTTAGTGAGGAATTTCACAGCCTGCTGCAATTTTGACTTTGGGTAATGGTATCAAGTGGATGATATTGGACCAGTCAATAAGTTGTTGGAAAAAAACTGTTGGAAGATATATGCAGTAGTCTGAGAAAAGCAGTCTAACTTTATTTTTAAGTTTAAAATGCAAGTTTATAATATATTCATTTCGGGTGGACATTGTCTCAGATTCGTTCTTGTAACTGTGTTGCTTCACAGTTATCTAACCTGAACTGTACTTCACACTCATCAGCCACTCGCTAAAATGTCTATTTTCCTCTTTTGCTTTCCAATCTCCAATCACCTTTCTCTTAACTCCAAATGTCATTTTCATGCGTGACATCTTATCAAGTATATTTTGAATATCCACTTAACCTGTATTAACTACATTTCTTCTCTGTGAAAAATTAGCAGAATATAATCTATATGTTTGGCCAGAAATAACCTGCATTTTAAAACAGACTATTTGACTGGGCTTGGTGGGAACTTCTGTTTCTCCAACTCCTTAGCTATTTTCCTTTTGAAGAAGGATACAAGTTGTTCTTCTCTCACAATATTTCTTTATGTACAATTTCAGAAAATTATAGTTGAGGCTCCCTCTATTTTTTCTCTAAATTCCTTAGGAATCTTTTATGTTTCCATCATGATCTGTCTGCTTGAAATAACTTCTTTTGGCTGAATTCTCTTTCAAGTAATGAACTCCACTAGCTGTTTTATACCAATCTTGACCGTGCTATAATCTCAATACACGAAAGTACAAGAAAGTTGAGAATTCTTAATTTCAAACACACTTACCTATATTATGTTTTCACAATGTAACCTGCAGCATTTCATGGTCTTGTACCGTTCTGAAGAGGAGTCATACCAATCTTGAAAACATTAACTCTATTCCTCTTTCCACAGATACTGCCAGTTGAGTTTCTCTGCTAAGTTTCTCCTGCATTCTCTGTGTTTGTTGTGTTAGTATTGTTCATGGCAATTTGGAGAATATGCTGAAGCAATTTTATTTGAAAAAGACACCAGGCAGATGGTATGCTGAATGTTTGCACTGTCTACTTAACGGCATTAGAGAGAAGTCTGAACCATCATCATTGTCAGGGGTCCTTTTAAGTTGAATGGTGAGCTGCCAGCACTTAACAGTATGGGATGTGCAGTTTTCGAAATCTAGTAGCCCCTCTGTGGAGCAACATTAAAATAAAACATTGTTGGAAAGACAATCCTGGGGAAGGAGGGCATTGAATACCTAGAAGTAGATGGGAAAATGAGTGCTACTTTGCCCTTTTTTGATGTTTTCAAAGGGGCCTTTAGTTTTCTATTTAAGGATTGTTAGTTAGGCCCCTATATCAAATAGCAAAGCAGCAACAGAAAATGTCTATTTTTAAAAAATAATTTTGACATTTTGAAATGTAACTTGTGTTCTTCTGAAGACGTGTATCTTTTTTTATTCGTTCATAGGATATGGGCATTGTTGGCTAGGCCAGCGTTTGGTTCGCATTCCTAATTGCCTTCTTGATCCACTGCAGTTCTTTGGGTGTAAAAACACCCACAATGCAGCAGTTCCAGAACTTTGACAGTGAAGGAACAATGATATAGTTCCAAGTCAAGCCTGTAAATAATGCAGCGTTTCAAGGAATTTTTGAAGTGTGCTGGTCCTTATTGCCAATTCTCTTTGTTTTTTTTTAGGAGACAGCTCCCCTTCGTATAAATAACAGTCACTACTGATGAGGGTAATGTGTTTACTTTTCAATGGCAGTGTGGATTTTGTTCTGGTCAAGATCGAGGCATGAGGTCTTTTTTACATGTATTTTTTTTTCTCTTTGCAGAGAAGGCAAGCGAAACGAGTTTGTTCCTACTGTTACCTCCATCTTAGTCTGGACTGCCATATTTTCACATTCATAAACACTGAGACTGGGATTTCTCTGCTCTTATTATGGTAATGTTTTATTTCTAGACATTTATCATAATTAAGTATATAATAAAATGCTTATTGAAGTGTTAAAATGCACCACACTGTAGAAAATTGATAATTGCTGTACCTATTGCAGTCATTAATTTATTTGACCATCTCTGATCCAAAGATTTCCTGGTTATTTATTTTAATCCTGTTCTATGTGGGAGAGTTTCAACTTTACTTACTCACCCCCCAGTCCTGTCCACAGAAGACAGACCTCAGTTGCAATCAATAACATGAGATGACTTTGCAGTAGCAAACACAATCAATAGGTCAGGGGTAGGTTTTGTTTTCTGATATAAAATTAAATTTCAATCAATCCAAGATGGTTACTTTGAGGTAGTCAAAGAAACCAAGAAGTGCAAATGCTGGATTCAGAGATAACACAGTGTGGAGCTGGAGGAACACAGCAGGCCAGGCAGCATCAGAGGAGCAGGAAAGTCGACGTTTTGGGTCAGGATCCTTCTTCAGTTGCCTGACCTGCTGTGTTCCTCCAGCTCCACACTAATTTGAGGTAATGTTGCAATCAGAAAGTTTGTACAATTTTTTTTATTGTTTGGGGGTACTGCGTCATTAACATATAGTAGAACAAAGTGTTCATGTTAATAACAGTCTAGGTGGTTTGATTGTTAGAGATTAAATGAGATCCAAATTGTTTTGAATGTTAAAAAAAATGAAAAATAATCGAGACGTTTTCACCTGTAGACAAAGGCCTATGTGCTAATAGTGGATAAACTGCAAATCTCCAAACTCCTAGCAAGATGTAGAGGATGTCCAGTTATAAACAGTTGTGCTCTTACATGTCAACTTACTTCCAAAATCAAAGACAGCTGGAGCTTTAAACTTAGCTATTAATCTCAGCTTGAATATAAGACCCGTGTGATCTATATTGCCGTGATGCTGGGCTTTGTGATGGGAGCAATACAGAAGAAACTACTGTAATGTTGAGTTGTAGGCTTTTGTAAAATATCACTAAACATTACAGAAAATTTAATCTGGCATGATCCAGAAGAAAAAGTGTAGCCAGTGATTAAAGATGGTGCAGTTCACTATCTCCGTTCACACAGAGATTAGAAAGATCAAATTTGTCAGGCGTTAAAATGAGGCTGGAAGATCTGTCTAACTGTAGGAAAATCTGTATTGTGAAAGTTATCTCAAGAGATATCCTGTCTTCCTCTAGCAGAGGCAATGGGGTAGTTGTAATGTCATTGGACTGGCAATCCAGAAACCCAGGATAACATTTTGAGGGCATGAGTTCAAATCACCCAATGGTGGATGATGAAATTTGAATTCAGTGAAAATCTGAAATAAAAAACTAGCCTAATGACAAGTAACTTCTGTCAATTGTCATAAAAACCCTTTTGGTTCACTAATATATTTTAGGGAAGGAAATCTGCTGTCCTCACCTGGTGACTCCAGAACTATGGCAATGTAGTTAACTTTTAACTGCCCTCGGGGCAATTGGGGATGGGCTATAAATGTCGGTCCAGCCAATGACATCCACATCCATGACCGAATATGAAAAGGTTAAACGTTTCCAGGCTAGGAAAGGAAAAGAATTGATTAAAAGATTAAACACTTGAGAGCTAAGTATCTATTTGGAATGATTTTGGGAGAATTGAGTGTATATTTAAAGGACAATGTAAAGTGTAATGTGAAGTGTATTTTAACAGTTATGCTGAAATTTAAAAGGGAAAATTTATGTATTGTGGTTTAAAGTAATAAGTCACTTGAAATTATTAGTAGTTTTGGAGAATGGCACTTGACTGTTATATCCAGCAAGCAGGTTACCACATGCAGGAAATTAGTAACCTTTTTAGAACCAAGTGTACAGAAAATGACACTCCCTCTGAAATTTAGAAATTTAGAAGATCTAGTTGCTAAAATTGCTGCTGGACTGTGAAGCAACTATATTGTTTTGTAAAGTTGTGGCGCGCATTTTGGTTGAAGGCAACAAGACTGGACATTCTTTCAGTGTGGTATTTGGTTTATCATGGTAAAGAATGTGTCATCTTGTGTACCTTTATATTTTTGACTGATTTTAATTTTTTGAAAGAGGGATTTGAAATGTTTTCTGAAGAAATGGATATTTAGTCATTAAATAATGATGGGATCATTGCTACGAGGTTGCACTGTTTGAATGTCTACAATTGTTGCACAATCCCACATAGACAATTAACAATATTAGAAACAGGAATAAGAGCAGGCCATTTCATTGCCTAACCCAGCTCTACCATTCAGTAACATCAGCTGATCTGATTGTAACATTCGATGGTTCAAAGGGTGCTTGAGTTATGAAGAATCTTTCTCAGTTTATTCTCCTTAACCATCAAATCCTACGCTAGCATTGTTTGTCCCACACAGTTACTGTTTTTAGGAATTTCTGTGCAACTGTGTTGTTCAATGCATTGTTTTAGTCTCGTTGATTAAAGCACAAAGACACTGAAGACTGCACTTTTTTGCCTGCCCTGCCTCCTAATCGTGCATTCCCTAGTAGTTCAAAAATCTGTCCATCTCAGCCAATGAATCCACAATGAAAATCATGTGGGGCAGATACTGCTAGAAAGATGCTGGATTGCAATATTAGGAAATGGTCTAACTTGTAGTTCCATCACCATGTTGAAAGTTTGACACTTTGTGACCTTTTACAACTTGCATTCCTACTTCTCTCTGTGTCATGAACAATCATCTAAATACTCAAAACATAAAGTGGCATTCTTAGAGTTAGCTCACTGCAGATAACTCAAGGCAGTTCAGTTCTAGTATGTGTAAGAAATCCATTTGTATGGAAATTTTACATTTTACAGCATGTAGAATCATTGGGTCATACAGTGAGGAAACATTCCCTTCGGTCCAATTTGCCCATTGCCAAACAGGTATCCCAAACTAAATTAGTCCCATTTGCCTGCATTGTCCCCACATCCTTCTAAACCCTTCCAATTCCTGTACCTGTCCAAATTTCTTTTATATGTTATAACTGTGCCTGCATGTACCACTGCCTCTAGCAATTCATTCCACATATGAAACTCTGTATGGAAATGTTGCCCCTCAGGTCCTTTTAAATCTTTTTCGCCTCACGTTAAAATTATGCCCTCTAAGTTTTGAACTCCCCTACCCTAGAGAAAATATCTTTGCCATTCACCCTGTCCATGCCCCTCATGATTTCATAAACCTTTGTAAGGTGACCCCTCAACCTCTGGTGCTCCAGGGAAATTAGCCCCAGCCTGTCCAGCCTTGCCCTATAGCTGAAAACCTCCAATCCTAGCAACATAGCAACATCCTTGCAAATCTCTCTGAACCCTTTCAAGTTTCATAACATCTTTCCTATAGCAGGGAGACCAGAATTGAATGCAGTATCCCAATAGTGGCCTAACCAATATCCTGTACAGCTGCAACATGACATCCCAACTCCTGTACTCAATGCACTGACCAATAAAGACAAGCGTACCAAACGTCTTCTTCACTACCTGTGTACCTGTGACTCCACTTTCAAGGAACAATGAACCTGCACCCCAAAGTCTCTGAGATGTAACAAAGGATTTAGAAAACAAATGAGTGACAATTGCTGAGGATTTAGCCATAGTCTTGTAATCTGCCTCAGGTATGAGTGATGGTGCAAGAAAACTAGAGAATTGCGATTGGCTTTAATCTGTTCAAAACTGGCTTGAAGACTAAACCCAGACATTAGACTTTGGCGATGGAAAAGCTTTTAGAAATGAACTGAGATGGAATTTAGTCACATGGACAAATATGAATTTGTTAAGAAGAGTCAATTTAGATTTGTTGAAGGTGAATTGTGTTTGACTAACTGGTTTCAACATTTGACGAGGTAATGGAAGGGGCTGCAGAGGGTAGTGTGATTGATGTGTACACGGACTTCTAAAAGACTTTGATAAAATGCCACATAATACAGAAAGTTGAAGCCTATGAAGTAAAAGCAACAGTGGCAGCATGGATAGGAAATGGGTTAAGCGATAAGTAGAGAATCATGATGAATTTTTTTTTGGACTGGAGGAAGGCATGTTGTGTGGTTTCTCGGAACCACTGCCTTTCTTGATACCTGTTAATGGTCTAGACTTGGATACACAAATTTCAAAGTTTGCAAGTGTCACAAACATCCAAAAACAGTACATTTTGAGGATAATAATTGCAGATATCAATAGGCTTTTGTAATGGGTGGATACATGATGATGATCTGAGAAACGGTAGCAAATTATGGAGTGATACATTTTTGGCAAGGAGAATGAGGAGAGATGATATGAACTGAAGGATATAATTCTAAAGGAATGCAGGACAGATGTGTCTGTATAAGTTGGTAGGACATTGGTTAAAAAGGCATTTGTGTTCCTGGGCTTTAGAAATAGAGCACAGAGCACAATCTAACTGTGGTCAATTTTGGGCATTGCATTGTAGAAAAGTGATGGAAGAGGTCATTGATAGTGCAGTCAAGTGACACATGCTCAGTAGTAACTGCTCACTGATGCTCAGTTGGTGTTCCACATCAGCTCCTGGCCTCATTACAGCCTTGGTCCAAGTGTAGACAAAAGAGGTGAATTCCAGAGGGGAGGTAAAAGCAAATGTCTTGGAACTCAAGGCAGTTCTTGAGTGATTGTGGTGTGAGGGAACCCGAGCAATACTGGAGTCAAAGGGAATCAAAGAAAGCTGTCCACTGATTGGAATCTTAATGAGCATGAAGAAAAGTGGTTGTGGTTATTGATGGCTAATCATCAAAAAAAATACTGTTGGGAGTGGGAGTCGGGGGTTGGTAAGGTAAGTTTTTTTTTCTTTCTTTCTCTTTATCTCTTTTGGCATTCTAGAGTAGAGGGGTGGAAGCTAAGGCAGTTGCATGCTCCACTTGTGGGATGTGGGAGGTAAGGGTCACTACTAGTGTCCCTTCTGACTTCACCTGCATGAAGTGCACCCAACTCCAGCTCCTCACAGACCATGTTAGGGAACTGGAGCTGGAACTGGATGAACTCCGG